CACTATGCTACCAGAGCTCCCAAATCAAATAAATCAAAATAAAAATAAGAATTTTTTTCAAGATATATAAATTCATGACTTCTAAGAGGTATATCTCTTTAAAAATGTGGGGCAATCTACTTCCATAGTGATACTGCCTCAGAAACCAAGGAGGGGTCGCTATGCATCGGGTCCGACTCGGCGGCATATAACAACAACAACAAATCATTGCTGATTATTGAGGAAGATATAGCTAGTGATGTCTGAGGTAACTTCCTATTTTTTTAATATAAATTCATGATTTCTAAGAGGCATATCTCTTAAAAATAATACATCATTGCTGATTATTAAGGAAGATATAGCTAGTCATGTCTGAGTACCTTCCTATCCTATATACCACTCTCTTCACTGAACTCAAGCCAATCATTTTGGTAAAAATCATATTACCACCCCTACACTCATTGCAACCCTATGGAAATAGTCCTTACCTGTTCAGTTATGCTTTCCAAAACACAGAAAATATATCCAGAGACAGTGGGCACTTGAAAGTCTACAAGCAGTCAGGGTTAGGTGAGTCATATACCTTTGTGAACAATGATTAATACACAGAGGAAACTGCTCTTCTGAGACAATACAACCTTACAGAATATACATCATCAAGAGAATATGTAGCCCCATACAGAGAAAGAGAAATGGAGAGAGCAGCTATCTCATTCTCAACCCACATTCTTGTTTCCACCTCCAGTTCCGATGAAGACAAGATACACTTCACATTTATAGGGTGCTCCTACATGTGCGATAAATGAATGTATTTTCTTTCCTTGCAAAAAAAAATTCTGATTAGAAAATTTGACTCCTTTTCTGATTCTTCCAATTACATTTTGAAAACTTAACAGTACAAAGTTGGACAAGCAAGTTTTAAATGTCTACTCACAATGCTGTAAATCTTATCATGCAGAGTAGAAAGGAGCCATGGCAACAGCAATGAACTTTACTTATTGGGAGGAATGAGCTTATTACAGAATTTCTTTTCAATTTGTAGAAAAGTCAATCACTTAGACAGAACTAATCTTTGAGTATTTTTTCATATGATTCGAGTTTATCCTTCATAACAAAAATAAACACCATAATCCCCTGAATGAAGGAGAGGGCATTTAATTGTAATTTTTACCACCATATCCAGGCACCCAGTTTCTCTCCACTCCTATCTCCTAGTTTCTCTAATCACACCTTAATCCCCACTCTTCTCGGATTTATGACTTTCTCCCTCTCTAAATAACACTACTCTAATCTACAAAAATGGAAAAGTGAAAAATATCATGCTCTTGAGCCTCTGAGTACTAGTGTTAGCTCTGCCTATCTCACAATCCTGTCACATCTGCCAATTCTACATCTATGTACTCAGAGTAAACTTTGAACTCCATGTAAACCCTTTCAGAATTCTGTTATCACTTCCATTCAGACCTTCCTTCTAGGTATGGCTTAATTCCAACACCATAGATCAATAAAGATGTTGATTTTACCCCCTATAGCCAGAATAGCTCACTCTCACCCCTCCCTTCTGGTTCAGTCTGTTTATCTACCTAGCTTCAATACCCCTACTGCTCCTGAATCTGAAAACTTCCTTAGGTAAAAATCATTGCCTGGTGAGCAAAGAGGAATAGGTAGAAGGATGGGAGATCAGGACCTAAAAAGACTGTAAGTGACTTGGGGACAGGTACTTTGTCTATTTTGTTCATATTGTATCCTCAGAAACTGGCATTAGGAAGTTTTATTGCTGAACAAATGAACTACCAGGAAAGCAGCATAACAAATCGCTTTACCTAGACCAGAGTATTTCCTATTCATTCAGAAGTAAAGCTCCTCAAAAAGACACAGCCTTACTATTTCATTTTGCTTAATCTTACCCAACTACAAACATCACAAGGAACTATCATCATTTGTTTTTTTAAAAAAAAAAAAGAAAAGGAGGAAGAAGACAAGAAGAAAAAGTCATTTCACTAATGAAGATTATTTTAATAATCTCTTCCAAAATGTTATGCTAAGGTTTCTTAAAAATGCCATTTATTTTTTCTGATGTAATCATATTCCTGAAAATTTATGGACATAAAATTTTAACATTAATAAATCATCATAAATATTAATCATAGTTCATCATATATTATAATTTACATCATACAATCATCATTAAAAACAAAAATAAAAACTTACATGTATATAATCATCACAAAAATATGAACTTACATGTTTGGACAAGTTGGGGCTCTTGGAATCAACATCATACCTAAAAGATTAAATATGAAACTCAAATTATTTCCATAAAATACAGCTAGAGAAAAATATCAGTATTTTTCAAAACACATAAATAATGTAAAAATGGAGGAAAAAAATGTAGCAAATTTTGACATTTCTCTTAACCTATGGCCTATTTGCCAATGGGAGCACTAGTGGCATAGTGCCTAAAGCATTTGACTTCTAACCAGAAGACTGGTGGTTCAACCCAACCTGCCACTCCTCGGAAGGAAGATTGAGCAATCTACTTCCATAGAGATACCACCTCGGAAACCCAAAGAGGGGTTGCTATGAGTAGAGTGGACTCGATGGCAGTAGAATTTGGTTGTTTTTTTTTTCTGTTTGTTTGTTTTTTTTTAATATGCCAATGGTAGAAATCAAATTCCCTGAGTTCTATTTCTAAGAACCTAAGCACAATTCAAATATTTTCAGTTATCATTTCTGCTGCTTGATAAGACAAGTTTAATTTTCCTCTTTTCTATGAATCAACAATATCCTAAAACTGTTCAATTGAGTTCAGAAACCTAAAAAAAAAAAAAAAAAAGAAAAAACCTTCTTCCCTTGATACCATTAAAAAAAATAAATAAAACAGGTCCTGGTAACAGGATGTCATTGACGTTGTGTGAGAGAACTCTAAATCTGAGGAGCCTGGCATGACTGAAAATGATTGACCTGGGTCTGAATCAGGGCTCCATTTTCTTTCTTTTTTTTTTTTGAGTTAAACTTTAGCTCATCCTCTTTCTGCCTTCCTAAAACAGAGTCTGTGATTTGGAGTCTTGCAAAATTTTAAATCATCCTCAGCAAATATGGAAAAGGCAAGAATGATATTTGTAAAAAATGTTTACCAGGGTAGTCTTAGGAGAATGCTTGTTCAGCATGCCCCACAAGGAATGTATATGTAGCTATTTCAGAGGCTCACTTGCTGGGTAGGTTCCAGGATGTCTGTCTAAGAAGGTAGATAAATTAACCTTGCAACATTTTAACGTGTAACTCATATGTAATCCCTGGGCCCTGAGATTGTGGTCAGTATCTCCTTCCCTACTTTTCTGTATAAAGGCTCACCTTTCCCTCAGAATGTACTAGAGTATTTAGTTATACTTTGTGGGCTCTGTGTCCCCAGTTCCAGCTGTCTCTATTCCTCAATAAACCACTGCTTTACTCCTAACAGAGTACTGGAATTTTCTTCTAGGACATTTCTGGTTGGGAGATTCAAAGGTACATTACTTGCAGTGATGCCCAAGGACTCAATGACCTGGGCCTTAGTATGAGCAGAGCTGCTTGAGTTCATTGCTCCATGAATTCTCGGGAATCATCATCAGGTTCTTAAAAAAAAAAAATCACAAATTTGAGCTACATTTTCTTTGTGGTGTAGCTCTTCAAGTTCTATTGTTGTTATTTTTAAAGGATTTTAGAGCTCCTTTTTTTATTTGAATTATCTGATCATGTTGTTGTTGTTGTTGTTGTTGTTTGCCGTCGAGTCGGCCCCGACTCATAGCGACCCCTCCTTGGGTTTCCAAGGCAGTATCACTACGGAGGTAGAATTGCCCAACCTTCCTTCCGAGGAGTGGCTGGTGGGTTTGAACCGCCAGCCTTCTGGTGAGTAGTCAAGTGCCTTAGGCACTATGCTACCAGAGCTCCTATCTGATCATAGGTAAGGAATTGCAGAACTTTCTAAGCTGCAATTTCTGTGACTGCAGAACAAGCAATTTAAAAGCCTCTAAGATGCTCATCTTCATTCAAAATACTTCTACAGCAGGATAAGCTGGTTCAGAGTAAGGGCCAGAAGCATTAGGCTGCCCACTGGCTATAAGACAACACTTCTGCACCTCAGGTACATATCAATTTAAGCAAAACACTTTCCAAACCCAAGGCAAACACCCAGTTAGGACCTTGTCTGGCTCTGGGAGACCAACAGCTTTTGTCTTTTAGTTAGCAGACTGTCTTTGAAAATGTGAAAGGCCCTATCTAGGGATAATGAAGAGTACCCTTCTGGGACTCCTCTCCATTACATGGACAAGTACTATGGCTCTGCTACCTGCCTGTACGTAGTTATCTGTGTGGTATGTCCTTACCAAAGACAGTCTGGGAAATACGTGGCCACTTTGGAGTTATTTTGAATTATATAAATTAATTATTCTGCACAATAAAGTAGAAAAGAAAGGCTTCTGGATTAAACAATCTCAATCAATGGGACACCTATTTTAACTCGTACCTAGAAGCTTCTAAGAGACCTTAAGATAGTGGGAAGAGAGCTGTCACACTGTGGGGAATTACAGTCAATGTCATGACACAGAATGTGTATGAACTGCTGTATGGAAAATGCATTTGCTCTGTAAATTTTCACCCAAATCACAATAAAAATTATATTTAAAAAAAAAAAAAAGAATGAGAGAGAGAGACATCAAGATAGCAAAACTGCTTCCCTGAAGGATATGTTGTCTAAGTTGACTTAAAATAAGAAAAAAAAATAAGGAATTTCAACATCAAGTCTCTGCCTCACCTACTTGCACTGCTTCAATACCATGTGCTCCTTTGCCAACCAACTCTCCTTTATACCTTCCTTACCTTCTTCTTTTCATAATACTCTGCCTGAACTTCCTTTTTTTCCCCCTAAAGAACCTGCAGAGAATCTAAAGCTCATTCATAAAATGTCCTTTAAACTACACTCTACAAACTCCAAGATGGGCACCAGGAAAACTCCTAATGATCCTGGTATGTCGTTTGTTCCTTGAACTTTTGCATGGAATTGCATAGTATTGTTAAGGATGCAAAGGCTCTTAAAAATCTGCTACAGTGTTTAAAATCCTTATTGCAGCATACCATCCTGGGTTATCAGTTATATAAATTAGTCCACATGTCAACAGGTCCTGATAAAGTCCAGTTATGGTTAGAACATAGTGATTGGGAAGATCTTAAAAACAGCCATCTTTAAATATGCATAAGACAGCTGTTACCCTGCTTGAGGAAGCCTAAGAAATTGGCAAAATATTGCATGAGGCTGTCCCTAAGGCTTTTCCCCTTATAATATATTGGACTAAAGTTTACTCCTGCATAAAAAATAAAGATGAGAATGTTTACAATTATCAAACTCAGTTATTCCAAAAATTTTCTGATCTTGATTCCTTAGCCCCAGGGGCTCCTGGGGCTTTCAATGCAACTCATATCTGACCTGAAACACAAAGTCTCAGATCTATTATGAAGATACCATCTAGATTGGAAAGCAGCTCCAATTGCTTGAGCTGACTAATTTGGCTTATAAGCTTTCTCAGACCTTGGAGACCAAACAAATCTCCTAGGCAAATAAAGTGAAGGCCTTACAATTACAACTACAATCTCCTAACAAACAGAGTAAATCCAAGCCCTTTGGAGTCACCAAAACCAGTACTTAAAATTATTGCAAGAAGCCCAGATATTAGAAAAAGGACTGCAACAAGTTAACAAAATAATCAAAAGAAGCCATCTAAATAGGAGACCTTTCAACCAGATATAGAATGAAGGTGATGTGGGGACAAAAAAAAAAAAAGGACTTTTCATATGGTGGCACTTAACCCACAAGGAGAAACTACCATGTACATGCAGAGCCTTGCAAAGTTTTAAGTGATACTGGAGCCACTTTATCTGCAATTAATCCCACCTGTTTACAAAAGCCTCTGTCCCAGCGTACAAAATCCTCAAAAATTGTGGGGTTTTGCTAACCAAGAACAAACTTCCGATACACTGCCAACCCCTTACTATCTCTTTAGGTCCCAATGAAGATCTCCATCCCTTTTTATTTAGCCCTGATACTTGTGTTAATTTGTTAGCCCATGATCTTTTTTCCAGATGGGCCTGTCATTTATAATTTTTAGAAAAAAGAGAAATATTGTTGAACTTACCAGACCCCTCAAAAACCACTGATGAGGGATATGGATTAGAACTTACACAAAAGGAAGAAGTCACTTGCTGTTTGCAAGCATTAGTAATGCACAAAGAAAATTTAATGTCATCTAACCCAATTCCCCCTGACCTTTTTTCATCAAGTCTTGAAATCTTACAAGCTACCATGTCTACTGATTTGGGACAAGTTTTATCAGCAGAAAAAAACTAAAATTCAAGTAGATACCTCTAAGCCTTTACCAAGACTCCTTCAATACCCCCCTTAAATGAGAAGCAGAAGAGGACTACACTCTATCATCCAGGGCTTCCTTTCTAAAGGATTAAACTGTCATCTGCATTAGCCCTTGTAACACCCCTGTACTGCTGGTTAAGAAACCAAACAACAGAAGCTGGAAATTTGTTCAGGATTTGAAAGCTATAAACTGCATCATTATTCCTAGATTTCCCATTGTCCCAAGCCTCCATTTATTACTTTCTAATGTTCTCCAAATGCCACCCATTTTAGAGTAGCTGACCTTTGCAGTGCTTTCTTTAATATCCATGTGCACTCAAAAAGCCAGTATTTGTTTATCTTTACTGGGAAAATCAAAAATCTACCCAGACTGTAATGCCTCACCATTTTACTGAATCTCTTATTTATTTTTCTCAAGTCTTACACATTTAACTTTCATCCTTTACAATTTGCAAGCAAGTCTACTTTACTGCAATATGAAGATAATTTACTGATTTTTTTTTTTTTTTTTTTTTTTTGCTGCTCAAAGGACTTGCCTTGAAGATAGTGTAATCTTATCAAAACATTTAGCTACTGGAGGACATAAAGTTTCTAAAAAAAAAACTACAATTGGACCAGCATTCTTGTCAAGTATTGCGGTCACTCAATTTCTGCAGAAGCTACTTCTATTGATCGTTAGTGGAAAGAAGCTATTTTTGCCTTCCCTGTAACCTGAAACAAAAAATAGCTGTGAGGGATCCTAAGACTCTGTGTCTACTCATGAATCTGGATTCCAAATTTTTCTCTTTTAGCCTCAGCCTTTATACAAGCTGTATGCATTTAAAAGTTCTGAGAAAGATTCATCCCAAATTACCTCAAAAGATCAGGAAACTAGTTAAACCAAA